ACAAAATAGTAACGGCGTATGTCAGGTCCTGCAATCAATGTCAGTTAATAAATGATATTAATTACAGCCCGGCCGGGTACTTAAATAGCATTCGCGCTACATTTCCGAATGAAATTTTAGGCATAGATCTCCTTGGTCCCTTCCCCCAGAGCGAGTTAAATAAAAATCGTTTTCTTTTAGTAATAGTAGATCATTTTTCAAAAAATGGATAGAAATTGTTCCACTTAAACGCGCGTCAGCCAAAACAGTCGCAGATGCATTCTTACACACAGATACATTTTAAAATACGGTGCACCGATAAAAGTCATTAGCGATAACGGAAAACAATTCATTAGTCAAATATTTGAAAACATATGCAATGGACTTGGTATACGCCATATCAAAATGGTTCCGTATAGACCACAGGCTAACATAGCAGAAAAAGTTAATAAAAACATTGTAAAATAATTCGCAGTTACGTTAGCACACATCACAAGCGCTGGGATGGCTACATAAATGAATTAGCTTATGCTTTAAGAAACAGCAACATCATGATTACTACGGGAAAAAACTCCAGCAGAATTATTTTTAGGCAGAAAGTTAATTACGCCTTTAGATAAATTATTCTTTGTGCAACAAAGAGAGCAGGAATTTAGACAAAAGGACGTGCAAAAACTAATTGATCAGGCGCTTAAAACTTCGGATACGGCAAGAAATAGGCAGAAAATTTATTATGATAGAAAAACGCCGTGAAGCAGATTTTAAAGTTGGGGATAAAGTATTGAAACGGAAATTTTCTTTATCAAGTGCCCCAGACAATTTTATGGCAAAGCTAGCTCCAAAGTTTGAAGGCCCCTATGTAATTCAGGAAATCAAAGGAGTAGTCTTATATCTTAAAAACGAGAGAGGGAAAATCTGTAAAGCAAGTCCCGACCAGGTGAAAAAATACTATAATCCAAATGATTTTGAAATCCTTAAAAGTTTCTTGCAGGACTCAAGTCTAAACGAAATAGAAGGGCCAGAGACTGCAACAACTATTCCACCACCCAAGAAACGGAGAACTGAAGAGAGACCTAGCACTTCTACAAAACCCGGACGTCGGTATCAAAAAGAAAAAAGGATTTTCAAACTCCTCCGGCGTTTTAAGAAAAAACAAAAATACAGATGAACCGGGTAAAGAAACCGTGGTAAAGACGAAAACACCACCTATAAAAGATGGCAGGAGAAATTACACATCAAGGAGAACGCGCACACGGCCACAGAGTCAGGTGCCAGCAAGGCCGCCGTTCCGGAAACTGAAACGCCAACAGGAAGCACAAAAATACGACGAACAGAAGAAATTCAAGAAGGACTCCAGACCGGAGGACGTCAACACCAGCCGTCCCAGGCAGAAACGGAAAGGCCAACAACCAGACGATTACTCCGTCAAGAGGCCAGCATGTAGAGGACGCAAAAGAAAGAGCAACGGGGACGACACTCGGCGATCAATAAGGAGAAGATTGACATCCATGACACCTCTAACTTGGGATCAATTTTGTCAAAAACGGATGACGGAGTTTCAAGCATCGAAAACTCAAAGATAAGTTAAAACCTTCTATAATTTTTTTTTCTCTTTTGTTCCGAAATGTTATGCATAAGTACGAAGTTCTATGTTTTGACGAAAGTCAATATGTCTCGGTTGAGACGTAGTTTTGTTTTACTTTATTTAGCTAAGGCAAAAGTATTATTTTCTTTAAGTGTAAAAGCTAAAAACAAGCATTTTCTGTTGGGTCGAAAGACTAATTCTGTTATGTTAAAGCCAAAATTTGGCCGGAGATAAAAATAACTTCGTATTCTTGTACTAATAAGAATTTTAGTTCCAGTGCCGCCAGCTTGGCGAAGAATGAGTAAAGTAAAAATTTATTTTCTCTTATTCATTTTATGGTAAATTGTAAAAAGCATATGTATTAAACTTTTGTAAATGTATGTAAATACTTGCATGTTATGTAAAAGTAGAATTTAGTCTAGAAGCATAAAATTGTAGATGCTAAAAGTGAATGCTTAAAAGCAATGAAGTCAAAATTTAAGTATTAAACTGTAAAGTCATGCTTTAGAGCGAAAGCCTGCATGTTTAAAGATGAATGAGGGGGAAGTTAGAATGAATGTGTTTTCGTAGGGTTCTCCACCTACATTTGAATTTTTAAGAATATTAAAGTAGCTCATTGAGTTTGTAGAATGTCGAGTAAGGTGTGTCTATTTGGTTGTTGAATTCTAACAAAATCATGGTGGTTAGGGAAGTGTTGTAGACTAAAACACGAATATTCCCGTTTGACACCACACACGGTGGAGAGCCAGGGTAAAGTTAAATTAATGCTTGAAAAATTGAATGAATGTGAAGTGAGCAATAACTAAGAAAAACGAATCGTTTAAAAACAAAAATTTATTGTGTCAAGAAAGTGTAAATTATAATGTATGTAGAAAGATACTGATACTTATTCCTTCCAGATGCTGGAAGGAAAGACCAAGATTGATTGATGAAGTCCAGGAAAAGTTGCTGTAAGAAGAAAGCTTTCTAACGACTAACAGAATTTTAATATATAATTGTTACATAAGATTATTTTGTGTAAACGAGGCTTTCGCCAGTTAGTTCAGAATTAGATAGATAAACTTACAACAGATCGTTTGTAGGACCTGCTTCCAAGTTTTCCAAATTCTGGCAGCGGCAAATGTAGGGTTTATATTTATTTTAACTAACATTTATTTTAAGTTTAAACTATCTTTCCTGTCAAGCCTTACTTTCCCCTGGAACTGCCAATGCCAGAATATGTAAATTTGAGTAGAACGCGCGCAAGCATTCAAATTATCAGCGGAAGTAGTATGATTTAAATAGAAGGAAACGAGTTCGGTGAGAGAGTTATTCTTACTTCGCGAGCGCGGAGGTAGAAATCGAGAATTAAAGAACCCCGCGTTGCGGCCTATGTGCTTGGCGGGAAGTAGTTGCAATTGTTCCAGTGAGCTTCAAGTCTGCTGAATTAGCTGCGGTATTTGTAAAACGCGGTGAGTTAGTTATTTTAGAGAGCCTCGTAGTTAGAATATTGTCTTTACTTTCTTTTCAGGTTTTTATTTTTATTTGACTGCCTAGTTGGCACAGTTTGTAAGCGTCAAGAGGACGCAATTGTAATTTAGTACGTTGAATAAAAAGGGACTTACACCCTTTATAAGACTCTGTGGTTTATACAAGCTTTCACAGTCACCTCTAGGTTGCGTGCTAGTTAGAGGCACGCAACGTTATAAATTATATAAAAAAATCATAAAATAAATCATATATTTATCATAAAATAAACATATTTTTTAACGGAAAGTGTGCACAGAAATGATATGTTGAGGTGACACAGAGTTTAGTTAAGTGGTATTTAATTTCAATCTCCTGGCCTGAATTGTCATTCTGCGAACGAACTTAGAGATGTAAAACAAAGAAACCTGAAGCTCGCCGACATGCATTTTATTGCATGAGGCTGCGGTTAAAACATAGCAACTACTTTTGAAAGGTGTATAAAAATGATTCCAGGTTATTTCCTTTGAGCAGCTACTTAGTGTTCATTTTATTCTTAAAAAAAGAATGTTCGCGAGTTCTGATTTAGTGTAGCGATACATGCCGCTCGGAGAATGATAATCTGGGCCAGCAAAAATCTTTTATCTGCTGTTAAACCAGCGACCTGTACCACCTGAATGCTGCATTTCCACACACACATTCCATTACAAAATCTGCTTATTTCGGTCTCTACATTTGCGCTAGGTGTTTTTGAATTACTCTGTATAAGGTTTAAGGTTTCCTAACTCTGTAATACACTTTGAAAAAATCTGCGGATATCTAGCAATAGGCTATCTTGCTTCGTATCTTTCTAGTCAAGAGATAAATCGTATTTTTATTTGAATATTTTTCTTTCACAGTCATAGCTTATCAATCGAAGATCTATATGCATTCGGCCAATTATACATTATTACATTCATAACACTGCATTTTATTAATACTAAGGTTGATAGATTAACATATTGCTCATAATAAATGCATTTCTTCTCGATTAGCATAATTTTCATAATTAATGCATTTCTACTTTTAAAGCAAACAATATACGTTCTTTTCATTTAATAATAATACATACTCATTATAATATTAATTAAACAATAAAAATATAAATATTTACATTTCTTCACATTTTGTAATACACACAAACATTTAGGTTATTAATATAGAAAAATATTTGCGGTCAAATCCAATTTTACAGATTATACACTTTTTCATATTTGTAGTTATTGCTGTTAAAGTATTTTAAATTTGAAGGAACAATATAATTTGTCAGAAAAATACTCTGTAAAACTGTACATTTTGTTCTTTATCTTCTTATTCCACTTCTAAAACTTCGCTGTATTTCTGTGATTTTAGACATAGAGTATGACAAATAATAGGTGATATATATTTATGCCTTTTTTTCTTTACCAGAATTAACGGTGACAGCAATATAGTAATTCTGTAGCGAGTGTGTTAATTAAAATAAAAGGATATTTGAATATTTTTTCAATGAATCACCATTTTTTCCTTTAACATATTTAAAAGAAACTCAATTAAAATTGTTTATTAATGTTTAGCTTCAAAGCTAAACATTAATAAGATAAAAGATAGGAAATTTTAAAGGAAAAAAACGTAAAACTAAGTCGCTATTACTCTTCAAAATCTAAGTGTTTTTCCACCTTTCCCTTTTCTCAAAAATACATCTAAAAAAGTTAAAAGTAATAAATAGGATAAATTCTGCTGAAATAAACTGAAACGTGACCTGTTACCGAAGAATAAAACGTGTGTCTTCTCTTTTATTCAGATCGCATAATAGCTTTGGCAGTAACAAAATAAATAAAATAAAGTGGAGCCAATGGTAAAAGCTTTTCAAATGCTTGAAGCAGCAAGTTCTTTCAAAGCCTTGCATACTACATTTCTGGAATTCATCACGTAAATCTTTGAAATTCTTTTTTATGGATGAATAACTTACTTTTTTGTAGAAGTCTCTCTCCTCTAGGTTGCATGAAAAAAAAATTAAATCCTTTACTTAAGATTGTTCAAAAATTATATTATATAAGATTTAAATAACAGTTTAATTACTACGAATAAACTTAAATACGAATAAACTAATACGAATAAAGTTAAACTACGAATAAAATATTGTTTTTAAGTTTTCCGACGTCAACTTAGTCTAAGTATTTTGTCTTTGTTTCTGCCTTTCATTAACTGCATTAGAACGGGCATTCCCAAAAAGCTGCGCGAATGTGAAGCAAATTAATTGTGCTGATATTTCTATTACATGCATTAAAGTAACGATTTCAACATTTTGTTAGCTGAATAAAAAATTACTATAAATAGATTTGGTCTATTCAGAAGACAAACAACAAAAATCAGCGTTTTATTTACAAAATTTCCACAGGACTAGTTTCGATGGTTTTACCGAACAACCCTCCTCAGCTGCAAAACCGCCATATTCGGCGTGTTATTGTGTCTTAAGATTTGGTCTCTGTTTGGTCTTTTTGCATCATCTATTTTTGATCAAACCGAATATAAGTATTGTTGCGTACGTACGGGTTCATAATGGATTGTATGCTAACAGAACCGATGATAGTTTGATAAAATTTATTTTCTCAAAAGCGAATCTTCACAGCTCTGGAACGTTCCACAAAAGTACTGGTGCCGCTCTTCTCAATATGACCGAGCACAATCAGTGGATAAACTACTAAGAACGTTAAACACAACGCAATGCAAAGCTCATAGAAAGAAGTTGTCACGGATATCTCTCAGTACTCCCAAATCAACTTTGAACTCAAATTGAGAACTCTCCTGTCTTATAAAGTTTTCCCTCGGCCGACGAGAAATTTCCAGTACTTTTCATTTCTCGAAATTACTGGAAGTCATATACGGTTAAAGTTAAACATAAGGGCTGGGTACGGTTATATCTACATGTAAGGATCAATTACAATGCCAATTACAGTCGCACAGGAACCGTACCAAAATGTTGCCAAATGATCACCAAGTTTGGCAATTTCTCTCTAAATTTGGCAACAAAAATTAGTCGCCAAAACCATCGCCAGCTTGGCGGTATCCTGCCAATGTAGCGAGATAGTCATTTACCTCAGTGTTAAATAGACTTGCCCCTGTAGTCTATTTTTCCAAGAAGCTTCCCTTTTTCAGAGGCTTTTCATGTTATATTATACAAATTCGTAACCGTATTATTTCATAAGGAAATAAACGACGGAAAATATCACTGATTAACAAGTGTTATGCTGAGAAATGTGCTTCGAGAATATTTGGCATTAACTAATTGATCCTTGGAAGAACATTAAAAAGAAGTAGCATATTGCCCAATGGTATCCCTTATGTACATGAGGCCTATCATAATGGAATATTAATACACTTTATCTTTGTAAAATTATCAGATATAAGAGATGATCAAATTTCGGAATGAATAATTCGCCCCATGATGATAAAAGAATTAATCGGGCCTTATGCTTGAAGATATAATCTTTATTTTTGACCCAGTATACATGTCTGCTTTATGAATATGTCTATATCCGTATCACTTCCGATACTCTTGAACACGCAGTGATGTCTTTAGAAGACAAAGAGAGCAACAGTAAGCATTCAAACCTGCAGCAGTTGATGTCGTATAGTGCTACCTGTTAGTCACTTTAAATAATGATCTTGTTTAATGAAGCGAAATCACTGATAGCCGAAAGAATCAGCAATTCATTAATTACCTTCTTCCTGAATTCTAATATTAGCATTTCTCACATATTAAAATACTTCATCAATCCTTGTGCTATGCGGTCAAAGCCTTGATAATAACAAACTTTAAACTTCAGTGTTTGGATATGATAATATGTTTTGTAGGCACTTTCAAAAGCAATATCTTAAGTCTAAATTATTTTTTGCATGTAATCCTATAAGCAATGTTTTAATATGATATGATGCTTCTAAACTATTTTTAATGCGATTATACTGAGAGTAGGTATAAGTTGTCAGAAAGTAAGGCAGCTTTTCTGCTGTTTATTCTAACTATTTTTAGGTGAGGCACTCTCAATGGTGAATACTGCACCCCTTGTTTCTAGTATATAACATGAGAAATATCTTGTCAATAATCTAGCTTTCATATCAAAGAGATATAAGGCATTAAATAATGCAATACATGCCGAATAATAAATAAAATTAACGTAAAAGTTAAGAATTTATCTACTTATACAAAACTGAGAAAATTACCTTTGTTTTAGCAATCATATTAACTGTATTTAAGAGCTCAATCTCTATTACAGATGGTAAGAGTTTACACGGTTCGCCATCCACTTGAACAGGAATGGTGCAAGAAGTTTCTAATTTGGCACGGCGACATTGAGCAATTGGAGAACCATGACCTCCAGCTTGTAATAAAGGCTGAAAGAATGAATCATATTTAAACTGATGTTAAGCTTACGTTTGGTATTTAGAGTAAGCTGATGAAAATCATAATAAATAATTTCGAATAAATAATACATAATTTCGAATAAATAATAAATAATTTCGAATTAAGTATATTGAATTCTATGTAGGGATAACCTGATTTGCAGATCACACATTGATCGTGCCTCCATCCTCTGGAAAAGTAATAATTTCTCCTGCAATATATGTTTTGCAGTAGAGATTTCTGGTTTAGAGCTCAGTCTTCAGTTGCCAGTGGGGGTATTTACTG